CCTTATACTGGTGGCAGGAAGAAAAGCGATGTGAGAAAGGGAGGGAGGGAGGGAGGGAGCAGCATTAGGCATCTCTATCAGCTTACTTTTAAAGGAGAGTGGGAAAGATACATCCCTCTTGGGAAACTGCTTAAATAAATTTGTGCTTAAACTCTGTTGGGATTTCTCCAGAGTCTACAGAAAAAGAAGTAAATGCAATACAAAAGAAAAAAGAAAAAAAGGAAACGGGATGAGCTAGCCATTTTCACGTGTTTCCTGATTATATCTTCTACTATCAAGTTACACATGTGGTCTAAATGTCTGTTGTCTCTTCTTGCCTTAAAGTAGAAACAGTGTCCATGCTATCACATCCAATATGTGCATCCATATATTTGGGGAGAATCAGCCATGACTCTTTTGGTGCATGCCATCTTTTTAGTGCAAAGTACAATTGTGCAAAGCGTGCATGCAACATAAACTTTGTGAAGCAGCAGAGATCAACTCTAGCTCCCTGTTGAATGCACACACAGTAACAAAATAGGATTACCTTTTCTCCCTTTTTTCCAAGTGTCATTTTGATATGGGGACGGGCAACCTGTAGCTGTCCAGCTGAGATCAGATCCTTTGCCATGCTGGCTAATGCTGATGAGAATTGAGATTCAACAACACCCCGAGGCCATGTTACCTCCCTCCCTCCCCTTCTCTTGCTTTTCCAGTAGAGATTAGATAATGTCTTTCCTTTCCTGTACAATACACTTCCTTGCTCAATATGTTGAAGAAAGATTTCCAGATTCAGGTTTGCAACATTCATTTACAAACAGAAGGTTTATGTACCTTTGAGGTGGTGATTCTTAAAAAAAAAAAGAAGAAACAAATAAACAAAAACAAATGAAACAAAGACTGGCAACAAATGTCTCAAAACTCATCTTGTCAGATGTTTAATGAGGCAGAAGAGAGATTCCAGATTTTGTTTTTGAGGAGCATAATCCAATTTAAAATGACCTCAGATGGGATTTTAATTTTCCTTTCTCAGAAAGATTTTATATCTAGATTGTAGTTTGTCACAAAAGGCTGTAGTAAAACTAAGAGAAGACAACTACCCAAAAAGGTGTGTGAAATTAAACAGCACCATTACTTACCTAAACAATAAATAAAAAGAAAAAAGCCATTTATGTTCAGTGATGTACCAGATATATTATAGTAATATTGAAATACTGAATATGCCTACAAACAATCTAGAACCAAAAGTGTGATGATCCCATTTTTGCAATCAAAAATGGGATCAAATGGAATACAGGGGTGTCTGCTGCAATGGGGGAGCGGAGAACACAAAAACTCAAGATGGTGACTGTGACCATGTGATTAAAGCCCTGCCTCACATGTAAAAAAGGGGCAGGGCTACAAATGTGTGTCCATGGCCACCATCTTGATGTTTTTGACCACCTCCTGCAGTTGCTACTGCTGGAAGATATATTATTCTCTGCTGCCCACATTAACACATCATAGCAATTCCTCCACATATTTACAGGCTTTAGAGTTAAGGAAATCACCCCTTAACAACTTTATCTTTTCCACTTCACTTAATTTCACCAGTCACCAATCAGGGATGCATCATCATGCAATAGTTTAGTAAGCTTATCCTAATATTTCTCTTACATAACCCATATTAATGAGACTTGTGCATTAAAAATGATACTGTTTAACATTTACCTGAGATCAAGTCCCAATAAAATTGGACCACTTTTTCTGGAGTAAGTGTGCAGGGGATCTGGATACGCACCTGACATTTAAAACAAGTAATCTGGCCAGTTTTCACTTGGATAACAGCTACATATCTGCCTGTACGATGCCATCTTACTTCTTCATACAGGTTGACTTAAGCACCTTGAAGAAGTTTTGTTTGAAACAAAATAGTATGAAACCTTGCCTGAAGGCTCCAGGCTTTGGTTGCACATCCAGCACAAATCGAACAACATGGGTTATGTAGGCCCCCTAGTGCCAAACAAGTAACAGCACAGCAAAGAAAACCATCCGTCTATCACTATTGTTCATAAAATGATACAGCTTGCGTGGACTCTGTAAAAGCCGCACAGGACAGAAAAGCTCTGTAATTCAGTCCTAATTTAAACAGATTTTCAGATGAATCTAGTCATGTTTTCACAGGTACCAACTGGCCTAACTCTCTTTCAGGGAGAGGTGCTAGTAACTTGGTGATGTCCGGCTGGGTTGGATTCAAACTCCCATCCGCTACGGCCAACATGGGTGGGGAAGTTGTCTTCCAACATTCAGTCCTAATTAGATATGTACAATAAGCCTAAATCTCAGTACAGTAGCTTTAGATGTGACATTATTATATTGATAATAAAGGCAGATAACCTGCTAAGCAAAGGAGACAAAATTGTGCCTAGTTGCTCTAGTTAGCTCATTTCGATTTTATGGCTAATGAAAAATCCTGAGCTTTTGAAGCCAGCACTATGAAATATTTGACAGTTCACATATATTACTTCCTGCATTAGAAACTTAACTCTATCTTAATAGATCTAGTAACAAGAGCTGAAAGAATGTGCCCATTTAAAAAAAAAGAAGAATCAGCTTTCAAAACAAAGGCATAAATATCATTTCTTAAACATCTGGAGTAGCTATCCTTCCCCTCATCCTTTTTGATAATCAAAATTACCCATATGGAGGCATGCTAAGAAGATAGGAAGAAATTGTACACATTTGGTTCTCAAAAGCACTGTTAAGTTGCATTTCCTTTATTATACAGCAATAAAGATATTTCAGCAGAGACTACAAGGCCATCTGCTTGAAATCAAATATACAGTGAAAAAATAAAATGGAATAACTGTATTAAGTTAAACAAACTAAGTAACAATTAAAATACATTCACATTTACTTCCTCTCATTCAGTAATTCAGCTTTGATCCCAGCGTATTGGGACCAACTTTTTTATCAGCCTAAATGGCCACAATAATTTTACTGGTTTATCCCAGTTTGCAGGGGAGGGGGGATCAGAGGCAGATTACAGGTTTCTTGCTTAAGACCATTCTAAACAAGTTAGCCTTTATTTCAAGTTTTGGAAGACCTCATCAGTTTTGGTGTTTGTCACCAGGTTTTAGTAGTGTAATCAGCTGGGCTGCAAAAAGCAAATAAAAACAGAGTTTGTGGATCATGCCTGGTCCATAGGCTGTGGATTGCCCACTCTGGCTTATTACAGCATATTAATGATAAATGTCTATACATAAAGTGCGATTACAAAACACAGACGAAAAATAATCCTGTATGCTTTTTTAAAAAGCTGATCTTGAATTCACATTAGCATAATCAACATGAAAGGTTTTCATAATCACTTATGTAGAGAAAACCTCTACCCCGTTAAAAGCGCAGCTATTCCTCCCCCCGCCCCCCCCCCCCAACTAGGCTATACTGGCAGACATACATGTATTTATGGCATTAGCATAATATTTTATCCAAGAAAAGAACTTCAGTCACAAATACTTCATCTATGTATCAGAAGAGGGATCTAGGTTTCCAAAGTTGCATATTTGTTGTGCCATATAAAAACCTTGCTAATATTCAGTGATTTTTTATCTTGGAATGTTTTATTTCAGGGCTCAATGTACTATAGATAAAAATCCACAACTGCCCCTAAGCCTATTTAGCACCTTAGTTGTCAAACAGAAATCTTAGAAAACCATGGATCTAAACTGCATAAATTTTAAGTAAAGCCAAAACCTTCATGGGGAAAATTAAGAGAATATGGCATCTTAGAAGAGGGATTCCCTGATCTTCAAATTTTTGTAGGTACTTAAAAAAAGAAAATCCCAAGCACCATTTATCTAGTTAAATGATATTAACTGACCGATATAACCCTGGAATGGGATGAAAGTCACTCTTCAGCAGCCACTCTATGGATTTTAGAGTAGGTTGAGCTGAAATGCTAGATTCTGTTTTAAGAGGGCTGGAATGCAGTTAAAAGGCAAATTGAGTGCTTTTCCCATTCTGGGTGAGTTTTAGGGGGTAAAATGCTATCTGAAGCTTTATAAGCATCCTCAAACACAAGAAAGCATCTGAAAATGTTGGCCTACCTACTCAAGTGAACACATGAGGTTACCAGCTGGCAGAGCATAAGGGAAAGTGCTGCCTGAAGGCCAAAAAAGGTCGCTCAGCAGCATTTAATTCATCCCTCCACAAGAAGATGCCCCCCAGATGTGTTGGGACTTTAGTTTCCATGATCCCCAGATGAGACATGTATAAGATGGTTTGGAAAACAACAGCTTACTTAGTATCAGTGATCTCCATAGCATTGTACAAATCCAATCAGTTTAAAGTGGCTGGACAGCACAGGACGTGATTATGAGTAGGAAGCAAGCTGATTAAAGCGTAGGAGAGGGAAAACTAATGAGGCTCAGGGACTCACCAAGGACCATCTATCTATCATAATAGTAAACCTTAAACTGTATGAGCTATAGCAGTGAGTTTGTGGCAGACCAAAGAGCAAGATCTAAATCAAACTTTTAAGTGCAACGTTATTCCAAGAAAGATGTATCAAAGAAGGGGATCTCAAGAAAGGGATTAAAAGAATAGGACATCATTTGGGTGCATGATGATGATGACTGCTCCAAACAGTAAAACAACATGCTAGGATATAGAGAGCTATAAGAAAGGGAAGGGACTTGATAGCAATTGGCAAATTGATGATATGAGATTAAAAAGGCATTCCAGCAGGAGGCTCAGAATATGCAAAACTGTCTCCTTTGTGTGTCCAAGGAGAAACCTCCTTTGTTCATGGACTCGTTACCTGAGAAGTATTATACCAAGCTGTTATTTACTGGACAGAAACAATTGTAGCAGATGTTCTTTGATGAAAGATGAAAAATCATTACTCCCATTCACATGAAGGCTGTCCTCTTCAATTTCTTCCATTAAATAAGATTTTTAAATTAACACAAATGGAGAAGTGCAATTTCTCAGTCACAGAAATGACATATGTGCAGTCAGTGCAAACATGGTTTAAAGATAAAATATACAACTGGCAAAGCATTTACCAACTCAGTAATTCCCCTGATATGATAAAGAGCAGCACCTGGATTTCTACTGAGGGTCAGGCAAGCACTTCTGCAGACCTTCTCCCCTCTTCACTAAGCACGCAATGTGGGATGGTAAGTCAAATCCTGTTTGGTTTGCAGCAGTTAGGCGATAATCCCCACACCACTAGGTGCTGCTTTTGCTCCATTCCTATTGATTGAACTGATATGGGAGTCCTAACCCTTGTCCTTGAGTTGAACAGTTGTTGGGGACACTTACAAATATTCCTGCACAAGCTTCATGGAATTAAGGACCTTCACAACAAGCTACTTAATCTCAATGAAGCTGATGCAGAAGCTTTCCCCAAATTAGCCACCTTAGAACATAAAGAGTGATTCTACAGAAAGGACTGGAAAAATAAATTCTACAAAGAGCTATATCCAACCTGAATTTTTGCCCTTTACAATACATTGTATCAATTTAAAACAGAAACATCAAGTCATTTTAAAATCTACTTCTGCTGTTCTTCAGGCTGGAAATTTAATCAAAAAAGTAAACTTGGTCAAAGGATGAAAAGATCCCAGTGAAAACAGGATTAAAATTATAAATCAGTGCATCGGTCTCATCCTTTTTGCTGGAAAAATGATGACTGCTCTTCCGGGCTGAAAAATATTGGAGACATGTCAATTATTTTCATGTTATCATTTGTGCACCACCAATTCTTTTGTTGGCATTACTATCAGAGATCCTAACCCTAAATAAAATCCAGAGCCAAAGCTGAGCAGGGACTTTAAGTTCCCTTCTACAAATACAGAAACTTCAGGGGTATTACAGTCTGGAGGGTATGACCCAGACTTAAAGCTGCTTTTTTTCCAACCCTGCCCTCCCCTGCAGGTTTCTCTGGATCACCATATTTAAAGAGAACAGGGGAAATGTATTCTGCTGAAGCTAGCACTGGTAAAACCTCAGCTTTATCTTGGATTTATAGTAATGGCCTTTTCACAAAAAGAAAAGCAACAGGTCAAAAGTTACTGTGGAATAAGACTTTTGAGCTCAATGCAGTTGAAGGAAGATTATAATTTTCAATACTGCCGTCTCAATATCTGGTTATTCAGACTATTAATATAAACAAAATCTACAAAATAATATGCTATATTATCACTAATTATTCCATTAGTAGGAATTTCATATTTGCAGTCCAAACATTGGTGAGACATGATGATGCTTTTCTTTTCTCTTTTCTTTTGAAAGAAACATTTCATTATAGCCATCCATGTCCCTTACTAAGGTTACATACCTTCATTGACAAAGAACTCAGCTATGAAAAATGTTACTTTTATAGATTCCGAGGAATGTGGAATGCCAGTTGAATTTTTCCATTCAAATGGATTTTTTTCTGGATGCCACTGAACACCATAAATAGGGTATCTGTAAGCTACAAAAGCAGAACAGCCTTAGCCATTATACAACAACAGTGTAACACCAACATTGCCCTCTTTATCATCTTCAAAAAGAGTTATTGGAGGATCTTGAAACTAGGAACAAAGTACAGGATCTCAAAATTATCATCCCATGTACTGCTGAATAAATCTTCATAACTTAAGAGCCTATGTTGTCAAAATGGGTTCAATGAAGTGAATTCTTGTTACAGAAGCTTATATGACAATGTCTCTTCTTAGTCATGACATAAAAGACTAACAGGGCTACTCTTTGAATATTAGATCATAGGTAGATCAGAGACCACTGTGCCATCCATCTCAGTATTGTCTACTTTGGCAGCACCTCTCCAGAGCCTCACAACTTTTCTCTCATTTAAACTATGATCATTTTTAAACTAGAGATGCTAGAGTTAGTGCTCTATTGCTAAGCTATGGTCCTGTTGAGCACAGAGCTTTCAAAATCTCTTTTAAAAGCACAATTAAGAAATAGTAACATATACCACTAACTTAACGAACTAAACTAAACTAACATAAGTTAACAATGCAAGTATTCCAACTTGGTAACATCTTCCACCTACCCAATAATCTGTAAGATAAAGAATAATATACCACCACCGAAGATGAGAACACTTGTAACTGCCTTCCTCCACTTGATGTCTACTTGGTGATGGACTACAACTCACATTATCTTCTACCAACATAAGTATGCTGGAAGGGGATAATGAGAGTTTTAGTTAGACACAACTGAAAGTCTACAGATCAGGGAGAACATTAGAGGGTGGCCACAGAAAATTTCAGACTCAGGTTTTCCTAGCCTTCCTATTTCCTCCACTAATGGAAAATTTATAAAGTGACATCACTGTGTTGCATGTTTTCCAATTCTCCTTTGCTATGTTCCTAGGAATAGAACTATGGCATGCAATGAGCTCACAATACACACCTTGTGGTTTAAGTGTATAAGGAAACAGAAAGGAAAAACAAGCCCTGGATACCATCTTATATTAACTGAACAAATGTCTGCATCACAGGATTTCCCCCTTTTTTCTTTTTTCTCATTACCACAGCAGATTCTGGGAATGTTTTGAAGAGGATAGAAAGGAAAGAGAAAACCTATTCAACCATTTCGTCACTGCAAAAACATTATTGGATTTCATCCATAGGCTGCCCATGTAACAGCCACATAGTAGCTACAATTTTTAGTTCTAGACAGCTTTTAGAAGCTAATGAGATTATTACCTTCCATGGTGGATATGAACTCCACATTATGAAAATTAGTTGTTAAGATCTTATAAAAGTTGCGCAGTTTCTCATTTTCAGTGTAGTTCTGTAAAAAAGAAAGAAAAGAAATAATGATTTAATCTAGTTTTGAAGGGGAACATTTTTATCTACATCATTTTATTAAGGACAAGAAATTACCTGCACAGATAGGCTCCAGAAATGAAAGTGTGAAGTCACAGGCTCTGAAGCTATTAATTTGTATATATCTTCAGGAAAATCCTGGAACATCTTGCTGTGCTTTGCACCTTACACCCAAAACAAAACAAAACACCACTCTACATCAAGAAGAGGCAATGGCTAAGTTCAAACTTCAGGCTAGGCTACACACCACAATTTGCAAACCATAGTGGCTACGCTCACCAACCTGCTAGGTCAAAATCCAAGAAAGTATCTTGGATTTCTTGAGTTGTGCCAACCACATTAATATTACCAACTGCAGGGTGCTCATTTGTTTGCTCAGATTTGGACTGTAGACACAAGCCAGGCCCCTGTCCCTCTCAGGCAAATGGCCACTTAGCCTCCCTGCTGCAGACATTAGTGCCAAATGCATGATTATGCCCAGCAGCCAATTCACAGAGAAGTATCCAGGGGGCTTATATGGCGTGCTCACATATTAAGTGCCCTAGATAATGAAAGCGTGAATGGGATTTGCTCAAGTTTCATACACTAAAAGTACTGTATTAGTGTCATGATTATTCAAATATATTGTCATCATACATTTTAAAACAATTCCTCATGAACAGCTTTTGAATGTAAGAAAATGATACCCCATATATTTCTGAAGGAATGAGTGTCACAAGAGTACTGAGCTGGGAACTACAATGCATTGTTCCTAACTCAGTACTGCTGTCATTAAATGGAATGTATGATGTGTCTTTTTCCTCTTTCTATTCTGATCAAGCGGAGGCTGCTGTTACTATAGCTAAAAGACATCCAACGCATTATCAGTACAGAAGTCGACTACTTTTGGGCTGCACTAGAGTAGACCAGATCATCAGGAGCTAGCCACAAGCAGACAGGCAGAAAGACCCCACTCCCCCCATGCCCAAATATACCCTTTTCTCCACAGCTGAAAATGCTGCATTATTAGGAAGAACTACTGAATATGCTGAGCACTTTCAAGAATCCACATTGCATTTCCACTACAAGCAGCTGAGCAAAGGCAGCTATTTTGTTCCCCTTCACAGGGGAAAAAGATAACTCTCCTGTGTCATGCAGTCCCCAAATTACAGTACTACTTCATTGAGCCTCAGAATTTATTAATACATCAATTCTATGATCCCCAGCAGAATTCAGAAACATTCTGTTGGCTAAAACTGTGAATTTTCACCTTGAGTAAAATTCAGCGGCATTGTAAAGCCATCTGTATTAGTCCAAGTGAGCAAGTCTTCTCCACTTGTGAGATAGGCGAGCAACTGGTGTCCAAGGCATGTCCCCCATATTGGAAAATAATCCCCTCTGTCATTGGCCTAGAAAATGGCAATAGGAAAAAAAAATGCCTAGGTCAATACACAGAACTTAGACCAATCTTCTCAACATGGGTTCTGCTAAATACTTTGAATTATAACATCCATCAACCCCAACAAGTAATCATCACATTAGAACTATATTTGACCTCCAAAACCATCCAGGTAGGGAAATCTGTATTAGCTTCATTCTCCACTATTAACGGCAAAACAGTCTAGACATAACAGACAGTATTCTGCCTTGAGCAACTGGAGGAAAGGGAGGATATAAATCAAACAAAGAAGCAACATTACATTAACATGACTGTAGCTTTGAGAATAGAGAAGGAGATGATTGCTTCACAAGTAGGTTTTCTTAACTTCTTCCTTGAATTCATAAGTCTTCTACTTCTTTTCAAAGATCAGTGTCCAGTTGTTTTTAATTAGCAGAGACATAAGTAATGATTCAGCCTATTCCTGCTTGCAGTGTTCTGTTTAGTGATTAAACTGATATAGGCTAGACAGAGGCTAAGGAAGAAGGCAATTTAATATACTGTTTTAAGATAAAAGGATTTATCTTTCAAATGCATCTGTTAGAGCTATTTAATGTACATGTATCATATATTTAATGCACATTCATCATGATAATTCTGTTTTGTATCTTATGCATGTAACTTGAAGCACACACGTCTATTGACAAGGTGTATGCAAGCTGAAAATTGTGTAAACATGAATACCTACTACCTTCATGTCTCAAACATCTAATGCAGATTGACTTGCATGCTAAAACACTTACCTCTAGTGCTTTTTTATAGAATATCTTAGCAACTTTGGAAAATTCAGAAGTCTTAAGATCAACACCACCTCCTGGAAAAAGTATTCTAAGGAAACAAGGTTACAACAATTTTATTATCGAGAACAGTCCCAACTGACCTCAGTGAAATAAGGGCTATGAAGGAAGGAGTTGTAATATATATTTAAAAAGGAATGATCTGCTAATGCAACAGAGCAGTAGTAAGTGCAACTTAATAAGCTTCATTTGGGCTGGTTCTTCTTCAACTGCTCTATAGTTTCTATTCAAGCTCTAAAAATCCAATATCCAATGAAGAGATCAGCACAGTTCTAGTCTGCACTTACTTTAAATACATTATGAAGTAAAATGTTTTTCAGGAGTAATAAATGTCACGTTTATTATAAGAGCCATTAAACAGATGAAGAACCACTATTCTGGACATATGTTCACCGTCGGGCTAAGCAACATTTGATACTGAACCACAATTCCCAACTTCTTGTATCCTTAAGATGTTGCTAAAGGCTCACTGATATAACCCTATTTGCATTGCTACAATTTATTACTCTCAATGACTTTTTATACATCAGTTACTTTACAAATTTTCTCACCATCTTCCTTTAAGGTAGGCCACTCTCTGTAATAGTCATCCTATGAAATTCCTGGCTGGATGGAAACTGAAATCAAGGTCTTCAATATCATTTCAGGTTTTGATCCTCCTTCCACTACTGCCTGATAATTAACTTATTAGTACACTTACCCATTTATACCATGGAATATCTTATCATACTCTTCATAGGAACGATTCAATCTAGAATAATTAAAATTAAAAGTTTTAGCATAAGTATATACCATTCCGATGTCAGATTAGAATTGTTTTCAGTCACTAAATGCAAATAAAATTCATCCTTAGTAATATCTGAATAGTTACTTTATATGAAGTAACTACCCAAAATAAAGTTTACTACCTCCTCAAAGTAGATTAGGAAGTATAATGAACTACACTTATGGATTATGATGGGGAAAGCCTGGATTCAAACTGATCATTGGATCACCTTGAGACAATAATAATTTTTTATTAGCACTGCAATATTTTTAATGGGATTATTGTGAAGGTAACTCTTTCCTCCAAGACACTTAAGGCAGCATATATGAATGGTCCTGGATTTTCCATCTTATCTTCAGAACAATCTGAGAGATAATGATTAGCCCCAGTGATTTTTT